TTCATAGGATTCATAGTTCTGGACCCAAGTGGTTGGTGTGCCTTTCAAACCTGGAACCGACTGGGATTGGGCAAAGGTCATCATGTAACAATTAGGTTGACAAAGCAAGTCTGGATAGGTAAACTGTGATTAATCAGCAAGCTACTTGCCTAAGTGGGCAGTCTATTATCTTCGAGAAATTGATCTTTGGTAATTTCCTATCTTTTCCTGGGACAAACTATTAAGTTGTGCTCACATTGGCGGTCCATAGTCTTATCTGATACAGGTCTCAATTCTCAACATCTCTAATGTGGACATAACAACACCCCACAGGATAGTGTGAGAATTAAATAACCTAATGTAAATCACTATTCAAACATAATGGTAGCTAACTTATTTTTATTCTCATTTTTTTCTTCTCTCATTTCATTTTAAAGCAAATAAGGATCACAAACTTCACTTTCCTATGCTTTTCCATTGTGACCCAAACTGCCAAATTGTGCAGTATAAAAGGAAACAGGAAAAAATATTTTAATAAGGTGTGATTTATCAGGACCTCAAGTCTACTCTGTTAGGCAACTTATTTCCTCTGCAAGTCAAGTTCATAATTATGCTGGTGTACCAAACAATGCTTACTAAACAGATAGTGACATCTTGTGGTCCTTCAGCACTATGCTGGATTTTAAAGTAACAATACGGAGCACAAAAATCTGAAGACCTTGTACCTGTGAGAGGGATATGTGCTTCTGGGTTTGAAATTTTAAATGTGTTTTTGTCCTCAAGATAATTAGAACATGAGAAAATATTCTTTGAAGAAACATAAGTATAGGTCGTTGCATATAATGAAGTATTGGGAAGAGGCCACAAAGAAGCCAGGGTCCATATCCTTTATTAAGATATTCTGAAATATGATGTGGGTTTGTGTTATTTGCTAAGATACATTGTTGATATTTCAAGATTTTATTGTCAAATATATAGAAATGCTACTGCTATTTCACATGACACAGAAATGTGTTTTTTACTCTATATACTATAAATCTCGACAGCGGATTCTTTCAAAGCATCATTAGTGCTGAATGTTTGTGTTGAGTATCAGTAGCAAATTAAAGAAGATAATTCTTTATGGTTTGTAGAAATTCTCCTCCAAATATTTTAGTTGGTTTTTGCTGCGTCATGGAACAGAAAACTTGCCTGTCTTTAAACCACCATTCACATGGAATTTAAATTCAGCTGTTTATTTGTTTTTTCAAATCTTCAGAATTATCAGTTACTTTAAAAATAATGGAAATATGCTTTCACTGGTCATATATTATAAAGCTTATGATGAGCTCATCTTCCCAATTGGAAATTTTCTTAAAGTTTAAATGTATCAAAATATAAAATACGTTAATAAACTTAGTGTTAGACTTTAACTTTGCATTATGATAAAAAATCCTTCCACAAACATTTATTAAAAGGTTACTTTCTGCAAAGCACTGGACTAAAACACTGTCAATGATGTTGCCTTGTGTTTTATGGAAACAGTATTTCTTTTCTGTCCCACTACTCCCACTGTCCTTTACTCCCATAAGCACCTTGGCTGTGCCACAACAAAAAAAGATGTATCTTTATAGAACCCCAGAGCTTCCAGTACTTCTTTGAAAATAAGTTCACCAATGCCTAATGACTAATTAATTGATGCAACAAGCGTACCCAAACAAGTGAACATTTTAGGAATTTTGTAACTGACATTTACATAAAAGACCTTGATACCCTCAGGTTCAGATGGAGCTGTCTTGTGTCTGAGCTGTAAGGTGAGGTCCCAGGAAACAAATGCCCACCTTGTAGTATATACCTGTGGTACTGGGAGTCCCAGGTCTATCCAGGACCAGCGTACGGTGTGAATTTTAGTTCTTTAACTTTACATGGGATTTCATGCTGTATGAATAAGCATTTTAATTGTTAGTAATCTCTTACACTAAAGTGTTCTTCTTTTCTACCTTATAGCCCCAGTTGCTCCAGAAATCACTTCTGTGGAATATTTCAACAGTCTGTTATATATCAGTTGGACATATGGGGATGACACCACTGACCTCTCCCATTCTCGAATGCTGCATTGGATGGTTGTTGCAGAAGGAAAGAAGAAAATTAAAAAGAGCGTATGTTTCTTTGAATCCCAGTATGGGCATCTGAACATTCATTTGCATAAACTATGGACAACCATTAAGCAAAATGTATTGAGACATTAAACCAATGTTTGTATGCCCGTTGGCATTGTTTTATGCTCTGGAGATAGGACCGTGAACAAAAATTAAATTCCTTTTTTTATAGAGCTTACTTTTTAATCTTTAATAGTTAGCTGAAATAGTTGTAACTATTAATTTCACTTATGAGTGTTATGATTTGAGTGTTTTCTTCAGGATGTCAAACATTTTCAAGAAAACCATAGTTAACAAATTTCAATATTTTGTCCTTATATCCCCCAACACCTAAATATTTGGGTATGTTAGTAATGCTGATTTCTTTTCTCCTGGTATAATAAGCTTTTTGACATTGTATTAGTTAGGGTAAAGAGTAAATGACTTTAATTAAAAAAATATATAGTGGCTCAAAAAAAATCAAAGTTTATGTGTCTCTCATGCTAGCCCAGGACTAACAGGGCACCTCTTCTGTACCATAAAGGAGCATCCAGGGTCCAGATTCTCTCTCTGTTGCTCCAGCTGCGACTCTGTCATCCTCATCCGTACAAGTGACCCTTCATTATCATTAGAATCACCTGTGCAGGGAAGACAGGACATGAAAGCCCAGTACCTACACAGTGTGAATGAAACTATAAGTTGCCCACATGACTTTTATTTACAATCCATTGGTCAGAATTGGGTCACATGCTTTCCTCTAGCTACTGGGAGGTTCTGGGAAATACAGTCTTCAGTTAAGAAGCCAAGTATCCAGCATGGGCTAGGTTTCTTCTGAGTGTTCCAGGGCTGAGAAATATTCCTATCAGGAACAGCCCAGCAGTTACCTTTTATAAAATTTGCCGTGAATACGAGGGGAAATATCAGAGTGGTACCTGTTCCAAACAAGGGAATCAATTGCAAAAAATGCTCTGATATGTATTATGTGTATTTAGGG